GCATTTTTGGGTCAAACTTTCAGGCCTCCGCTTTTGTGATTTAGCAAGGAATGAAGGGGGGCGTTAAAGCAATCACTTGGCTATGCTCTGCTTTGTGTCTCTTTTTTAAAGTAATTTAATAAACACGGGAGTCCTTTTATGTTCTAATGAAAACCACACAATTCTCCTTCTGGTTACACCCAGAAGACCCCTTCCTGATTGATGTGAACTACTTGCCTACATTAAAACGTGAGCACTGCACTGGTTTGCTTGGCATTAGAGTTTGATTACCACTTAATAGTCAAAAAGCCGTGAGTTAATTGTTTCCCAATTTTAGAAACAAAATTATTACCGACTGAACTCGCATTCATTAATCTTTACTGTTTCATGTTGCTGCGGCAAAGTGATACCCATTTATTTTTAGGCAATGAAAATACGCCATGGAACTCCATGCCTTTCTGACTGACAAAAAGAGGAGCGTAAAATGAGGATGAAAGAAGCAGTGGTGGCATGGGACAGGGTGAGGGCTACTTGCATGGCTCGGAGGACGTTGCACTCAGCAAAGGCAATTGACAGATCCTAACTTGATAGCCAAATTAAAAACTTTGGATCTTCAAAGGCATTTTAACGAAATACAGTCGCAGGTTTAGGAATAGATTCAAAAAATTCATATTGTTTCTGTTAAATGACATTATCGTTGTGTCTTTTATTGCAGATTAATCCTATTTTTTATTAAGCAATTGTTAGTGCAGCAAATACATTTGGAAAAGACAGGATGTCAAATTACTATTTTGCCCATCTCCCTACTGCCCTAGAACAATCACGCAATCTAAAAATTATTGCATGTCTTAGGATAACGCGGTTGCTGTGACTTGCTGCTAATTGCGGCCACCTGTCAAGTGCATGTGGTCGTTTATGCGCGTGTTTCATAGGCATGTGTCACGCCAAACACACCCCACCGCAAACGCGCTCCACTACTACTACCTCCCTCCCTCCCTCTCTCCCTCTCTCCCTCTCTACCATTCTTCACTCTCTCCCACAGCACCGACCATCAACTCACCCCCCACGACCTTCACTCCACCTCGCCTCCACCAAACACCCTGCCTCCAACTCCATGACGTAG